CCATCGACCGGTACAACTTAACTTCGCACAATGTTTGTGGACCGTAAATTCTCCTTTGAACCGCGCAATAACGCACTATCACGTGTGGAGCCAAACGCGTCAATCGCACAAAGCATAGGATACTCATTGTGTCGCACCATGCGTAGTGCACTTTGTGCCGAAACGTGTTAAACGCGATAAGCATACAACTCCCCAGCATTTTCGAAATTCAACCATGTTTTGTTTATCGCGATAAAAAGGCCTCATCGCGTCAATTGCAACATTCCACTTCCTTTCGATTTTAACTGTGTACATGTCTTAAATCTTGCAAAATCATGGCTGGAGATACCGGTACTCGTAGATGTGAAAAGCTATTGTAGTGATTATAATGTACAATCATGTCCGTTATTACAACTGCTTTTGTACATGTTCATGTACATGGTTTGTTCCTCAACAACGTGCTGGTCGGTATGACCGAATATTTGGATAGTTGACTGAATTGAAAGCTGAATAGTCCAATAGTGAATTATTCAAATTGACCCAGCCCTAGCGATGTCTGTGTAAAGGCCTTCATCAATTATTATTAAATATTACAGTACAGGTGCGTGTAATGTACAGGAAATGTCCAAGACATTTAGCCTTGAATCGCCTTTGTATTGTCAGTGTTTTTCTTCCTTGTGGTAATTTTTGCCCTTGAGTCTGACATTCTGTGACCAGAGAAGTCTGTGCCTTCAAGTTATTCACAATGCTGCATGTAGCATATCACAGGTCAAGTTGACCATTTACTGTGCTCAGTTTTTCCTATTTACATGTATCTAACATTTAATTCTGTCACAGCTTTGTCATGACGTTTCAGATATGTGTAGCCATAATTTTGTAATCAGATACGTGTAGCCTAATTTTGTAATCAGCTTGGCACAAACTTGTATCCCACCAACATGGCAAAAATCAAAATGTCCCTTCTCTGGCAGTCCTTTATTGCAATTTGCAGAGCACCTTTAATTATCGGTAGCTACCAGTAGTACTGTAATGACATCTTTAATCTACATGTACTGGTACCTGTATATTCTGTAAGAGCCCGCATGAATTGTGTATCATTTTCCGAGTGTCCAAGAATTTTCAGTCGAAGGCCCAACAGGGTGTGTACCAATACATGTATGTGTACATACAGTACTTTAAGATAAACAGTAATTTATGCATAAATTTGGTTTGACTCAAGATTCCAAACTGAGCTTGAAGTCCTATCGAGTGGCAAAGATATCGTACCGGTAACTTTATTGTGAATGGTTTTAACTGGAATACTGAGTGATCCAGTCCCACTGGATCGAGTCCCACTGTCACTGAAAATTGACAGTCAACTGTCTTACCAATATTAAGCTTGAGAACACCAAGACAGCCATATCCATCCACCAACTTCTGATACTGTCTCTTTAAAGCTTCAGTCTCTGCCTGGCCTGGAAAAGAATAAGAAGACACCGTAATAAAATTGAGTCGTAAAAGCAACTTTGTGCTTTTTATTACAGTCCATGTAAGTCTGCTCTCCCCTTCACTGAGGAAGATAACGTTAGGTTTCTCTTAGGGTAGGGAGCCGTTACCAAAAAGAATGATAGGGAATCACTGGATTGATTTACCTGTACACACATACTACTGATTTATGTACATGTATTTACATGTACATTATTTTCATATACAGGTATTTACAATGAATACTTTCTGTTGCTAGCGAGGCTGGATCTTATTGTATGGGATGTTCATCATAGGAACAATAATCAGAGTACAGCTCGTCCAAATCTACACGTACCGGTATATGTTAACGCTCACGAACGGTCAAGGAACTATTACTCCAAAGCTGCCCACTCGGGAATGATCCATACTGACCACCAGAGCTGGTCACTTTACATGTATATGGCATATTCTTCATAAAATGGACCAAAATGCAACCTCGGCTGTCATTTTTCAAAACTTCTAAAAGAGTGACTTTGATCATGTAAAATACAAATTAGCACCTTAAGATTTATAAAAATAATTATATGGGGAGAATTAGGCATAATATGTACTTATGGTAGACATTTGGTTGGCTACCAGTGCAAATCAAATGGAGTTGAATTCATTTAAAGTTTTACTTCAAAGTGTTTACACCAGAGGACTTGATTTCAAAACAACAAGGAGAATTCAGTATATTTTTTGACTGATGTATTTTAAAGCACCTAAGATATACTTTTAAAAAATATAAACCACGAAAAAAAGAGCACAAAATTGACGGAAAATGAAAAGAAAAGTTTGGCTCTCTTCATTCTCTTATTTTATAATCACTCTCACTATACCAAAATATTTGCCAGGTCTTGTATATTATGACCACCAAAAATTATCCTTAAGTTTGGCCACATCAAAAATTTATAATGATTACACTATGTTTGTTGCAAACGTTATATTTGACAGAATTTTGATGACGTTCAAAAAATTTGACAGAAACTGCATGACGTTCGAGAATGCCAAAAATGCTGTCACATGTAGTGCTTGAAAACTCCATGCGCGATTCTTATTTTGCCCGTTATTTTGGAGATAACCCCGCTGAAAATAAAATTAACAACTCTGCACATTAAATTTTCATCATGAATCGTATTTTATGTCTCGAAAGTTATTTTTTTGCGAACGTTATTCAGAATGACGGATTTTCTTTTGAGAAAAATTGTTCTGAAGAGAAAAATCGCGGAGCATTGCCATTCCGTGGAGGGGTTCATGAATATTGAATAAAAAAGAGGGCCCACTATCTGGGTTTATGTCAAAGGTCAAACAGGCCACGATGCAGCGAAATGTTTCTCTAACGTCACGGCGAGAGATTGATGGAAGCTGCAAATCGCCACAATCGGTATTTTGGACTGCGGTTTTCGGGAACATACTTGAAGAAAATGTGATCGGTCCAGTCATAAAAGAATTGTGGTTTGGTGGTGCTTTTTTGCACTCTTTTTTAAAGCTTGTGTTGTACATCGATATATGGATTTTACTCGCTTTTTTTTGCAGTTGATTTTTTTGACACTAATGACAGAATTGAATGACATTCGCGACTGCCGACTTCGGGACCCGATTAATTGTGCGAGGTACTTTTTAATTTCGTGATTATGGTTTTAATATGTGTAAATATTATCACCTTTCACCACAAATAAATCCGTGTAAAATAACTTCGGGGATTATCACTCCTCAGTAAATTCTGTTTGCTCGGATTTTAACAGGGAGTTCATGTCCCTCAAAATTGCTAACGTTCGAGACTATAATTAATTTACTCCAATTAAGTTGAAAGGTTGACATGGTCATCATTGTACATGTACCAGATATCAGCCATGACTTCCCTTATTACATCAAACATTGGAAATTAATTCACTGCTGTTCACTTCAGGAAAAATGAACCCCAAAGTTGAACATTACATGTATCTAATGGTCCATATTTGAGGAACCTACCATATACATGTACTTTCGGGGCCACATTTTAACCAATGAGAGCACTGGATTTGGATGGTCATGAATAATCCATACATCTAGAAAGGCAATGGAAGAAAACTCTATGGGGATTTTGTGTACCATTCACAAGCCTTAACCTTAACAGTCAATCCTTCACCTGTTAGAGGACTGAGAACTGTTAGGGATAAAGTGCTGAAGTACTGGTACATGTATGTACATGTATCTTAACATACAGCTACATGTACCGGTACATGATAATGGGGAATTGTCTACTGAGAATTCTGGACCATTTTCTGCTCAAGAATCAGCCCAGATGAGGAGAACGTGGCAAGATTTGGCTTTGGAGTTTCAACATTTTCAACTGGATGTTCAAACACCATGCCATATTGCCCTTATCAGCCACTGTATGGCCGAGGGCCTTCATTCACAGGATGCTGCTCTACAAGGCGTGGCTGATGCTGCCCATTGTCTGCCAATCAACATAGTCAGCCATGAGTGGTATGTTGGGCACAATACACAATGGCCACCTTCTGCAGTTGATACATGTATTCACGTGTACACAGAACAGCTACTTTGCCTAGGACTAGGTTTGGGCATACATGTATGCCTACCAGTTATTATGGCAATTCAGATGCAACATTCAACCTACTTTTATCTGGAGATGTTGAAACCAATCCTAGACCAACCCTTCCTGGTCATCAATTGCAACCTTCAGCCAGAAACTCTCACTATCAGACGGAAACAACTTTGAGCATTTATCACCAAAAAGTGAGAAGTCTGAAGAATAAGTTAGACTGTCTCCACAGCAACCTATTAAGTAATCTACATCCACTTGGAAACTACAGAATCTTCGCTTTGACAGAAACTTGGTTGTCATCTGACCTCTATGATGTAGAATTTACAGTAACAGGTTACACAATATTTCAAAAAGATAGATTGAATAGGAGAGGGGGAAGAGTTTTAATGGGCTGTTACAATTCTCTGCAGTGCCAGAGGAGAACCGATCTTGAACAGAATGATCTTGAACTCAGCTGGGTTGAGGTGAAGACACGGAAGAGAGATCGATGTCTACTAGGCATCTTCTGCCGACCTCCCAACAGTGGAAGCCAACCACTGGAGGATCTTGGGGACTGTCTTACGAACGCCTCTCAGGAATATAGTAACATTTGTCTTATGGGTGACTTTAACCTGCCTACCCTTCATTGGAATGTCACCATCAGTTTTCCGGAGCCCAAAACACCCATCGATGAGATATTTGTGGATGCAGTAATGAACACCCATAACTTACATGTATGTCAACTCAATTTCAACACCACCAGAGGTAACCACATTCTTGATCTTGCCCTCTGCGCTGTCGAGATGGAAACAAGTTGCCAAGTGGGAGATGTTATTTTCAGTTCGGACCACAGTGCACTCAGAATTACCATCACCATATCACCGTCAATGAATCATGTTAAATCAAATTGTATGAACCTCAGTTACCGTAAAGCAGATATGAATGACCTACTGAGGACCTTAGAGTGTGTTCCATGGTGCTTACTGGAGGCAACATCAGACTGCCATGAAGCGGCTTCACTCTTTCACGACTGTTGAGGCTGCCATCACAGATGTGGTGCCAAGAGTTAGACCACGCCGTACTACTCCACCATGGTTTGATGGAGAACTCATGCAAGCTTTGAAAACCAAAGAGAAGGCTTTCAAGAAAAAACATTCCAATTCCATCCCTGAGAAGACACGATCACGTACACGCACACTGCCTCAGGTTCTCGAGAATGAGGTGAATGGAACACAAGCAGATACTGCAGTCAGCAAAGCATAACTTCTGATGGACTGTTTTCAAAGTACAGTACTTACCTGCCATACATGTACCTGCCATCTGATGATAGCAACATCTTACCGTATGTTCGACCAGCCAGTTTGGACTCTATGCCACCCATTCAAATCGATACCATCGTCACAGAGCGTGAACTCATGAATATTAATCCTTCAAAAGCTTGTGGTCCTGATAATCTTTCTGGTTTAGTTTTGAAGTAGTGTGCACATATAATTTGTGATCCACTGACTTACCTTTTTCAAAGATCACTCAATGAAGGAATTTTTTCAGGTAGCAGGAAAGCTGCTAATGTTGTGCCCTTACATAAGTCTAGTACCAAGAAAACTGTAACTAATTACCGACCTGTGTCTTTATTACCACTTGTTTCTAAAGTGTTTGAGAGAATTTTATGTGCTCAGCTTGTAGATCATGTCCATACCGCTATCTCTGATCAGCAGCATGGATTCGTACCTGGTAAGGATTGCACCACTAATCTTACTACCTTATCACAGGAAGCTTATTCTGCTGTTGATCGGGGTGGCCAGCTGGACGTGGTCTACACTGATTTATCCAAAGCGTTTGATCGGGTCAACCACCATCTTTTACTTCACAAACTTGCATCTTATCATGTACATCCTCGGTTACTTAACCTGTTACGTAGCTATTTAACTGATAGGAAACATCGAGTGGTTGTTGAAAGTGAATGTTCCAGCTTGTATCCAGTCCCTGCAGGTGTCCCTCAGGCATGTCAGGGCTCAGTGTTAGGTCCATTGTTATTCACCTTGTTTATTAATGACCTACTATCAAGTCTTACAAATAGATCACTACTGTTTGCAGATGATATGAGAGTTTTTCGTCAGGTTTTTAATGATAATGATTGTGTCTCTTTACAAGATGATTTAACAAAATTAGGTGGTGTACAATGTGGAAATTAAATCTTAACCTGCAGAAAAGTTCTGTAATGAGAATCACATTAAAAAGGAAACCTGTCGTGTATCGCTATGCTATATCTGATTATGTTTTGAACCGTGTTTCTATTCAGCGAGATCTTGGAATTTTTATAGACAACAGGTTAAATTTTGTATCTCATGTTGATTTTGTGGCAAAACTTCCGACACTGTAAAAGTGAACATGTACTTCGTACACTGTACTGCTCCCTCATAAGACCCCAAGTGGAATATTGCACAGTAGTATTTAATTCTATTTCTCACTCACAATCTGAGCGACTGGAAAGACTGCCACGGCGTTATTTAATGTTTATGTATAGGGTCCTACACAATGATCGTCGTATTATATCTTACTCTGAACTGTGTGACTTGTTTAATATACCAACTCTTGTCCAGAGTAGAACAGTCAACGATTGCTTATTCCTCTACAAACATATCCATAACCATTACAATTTAACTACCGTTAACCCATTTTCCCTCCATGTTCCAGAATGCCGAACCAGATCTGCTCCCAAACACATCATGCATATGTTCTGCGGAGCCGGGTGGAGGTAACGAAGCAAGGCTTTGTTTCAAGGATTTCAACTGCCTACAACCGACTCCAAGAGATGTGCGATGTGTTTGGGGCGCTTACATGTACATCGAATTCGTTCCGTACAGAGATTTACAGAAGTTCTTCGCACTCATAACTCAACAATGTACATGTAAACTGCCACAGGTTTAGCCAGTTTTACACTGAGTTAACTTAAATGTATGTATTTACTCAAGTTTATGTTTGTACAATTATTTATTTATTTACAAGTAATTTGGATTTGTCCCTTTTTTTTAACCCTGTAAGTCAGTTTTTATTATTAGTTGTTTTTTGTTTTGTTTTCCATGATACCTGTTAGTGGCGGATCTCCGCTGTTGGATATCAGAATAAATAAATAAAATAAATAAATACATGTGTATGTAACTCTCATGTACATGTACATGTTATTATCTAGAACCTTGTCTAAAGCATTTTCACACTTGCCCTCATATATACATGTGCATGTACTCAACCGTATGCATCACAGGTTGTCCTTTAGCTAATTGCATATGCAACCTGTTCTTTTTGAAATGGTCACTGAATTTACTTTGAAAATATGAAAAATTGTTTCAATGTGACATAATGTACATGAAAAACAATTGAACTTGTATAATGGCAGAATGAAAACAATGCAACAACCGTGCAAGTTTAAGCTGCCTGAACCTGTAATTGATTACCACTAACCACTCAAAGTGGGCTTATTGAACAGGAGCGTGGTTTGGTGACCAAATCCATGAACTTGTTTCAGCTTTGGTCATTGGCTAATTTTTGCAACTTGTTTATGCCTCTGTGACATCATTGTTCCAACCAAACAAGAACCGAAGGTTGGAGATGGTTCAGCACCGGACCAAACTGCCGGAAAATAAACAGATAAGATTCTGCTGCCCCTCAAAGAGTGAATTATAGATTTCAAAATTTGTTGTTACATGTAGCAAATCAAACCGACTCTAGCATGTGGAAAGAAAAAGCAGCATCAGTGAGAAACATGCCAAATATTGAGCGGACATTATGCTCATCTAAGTTGTCTGCTTCCTTGCACTTACATCATATACATGTACCTCCATCAGATGATGGAACCATTTCTAGTTTCTAGTTTTTGTGGGCCACCCTTAACATGTTCCTAGTTATTACTCTGATTTCACGAGAATGTTTCTGGTTAGGAGTCACCAAAACACACAACAGTTTAAGGATTGTTTTAGAGGTGAAATCTGGGAATTTTGATTTGGGATACAAGCTACATGTATTTTGAGTGAAATCAAATAATGGTAAGGAAGGCTTCCATGTGAAGGGTTTTTGGAACTGTGGATAGTAACTACCACCGACCATGTCCAAATGTTTTAAAAGGCAATTTTTACATACATGTACATGTACCTGTACATGTACACTGTAGGGTCTTACATATAGTTACTCCAACTACCAAGAAGGGATATATTAAATTATACAAAAGTTTGCGATGGCAGAATTGATTGGCATACCAGTAATCAACACCCAGATATGTACATGTACACTGTACATGTAAACATGCAGCCCAAACTTTATTAATGCTAATGCTAATTGTACGTGTTCATATACAGTGTACATGTACAATCTACAGTGTGTACATGTACTGTAGTAGTAGGCCTATGTATTTCACGGCCTACGTCTGCATGTAGAAATACAGTCGACTCCCGTTATTACGAGGGCCAGCGGACTTTCACAATTCTGTTGTTATAGCCGGAGCGTCATTAAAACCGGAGCGCAATTTTTCACACTCATTTTGTACAAGTTTATAGCCACGTACATGTCTGTTGTAATCATGTACAGGTACACCGATACCACACGCCGAACACATGAAAAGATGATGTTACATGTATGTGTCTCTTATTAATGCTAAATTTTTATCTAATGTTGATGAATAAAATGATATAAATAAAGTACATTTAAAAGTCAAATATTTGACAACCTGGATCAGAAGAAGTCAAGAGGAATAGCCAAGTGAGAAGAAACATTCAAGTCCGTGCCGGTAAGTACATCTACATCACACGTCCCGAGTGTACGTTTTGCTTTTGTCATGAATTGGCTAAAACCAGTCAAAAGAGGGCGCCATTATTACCAGTATGTCGGGGGTTTTTGTTGAGATGTAGATGAGATTATTTTTCTAGTTGAATTTTCCTTTATACATGCAAATAATAGCTTCGGATTATGTTGATGCTTTTTGTATGGCATATTTTCTGCACCTGTTTTAAGGGGGATGCGTTTTCACATTAGATTTGCGTTTAATGAAATGGGACAAGAGAAGGTGTAATGTCATTGATTAAAGATCGGCGAAATGAAACACCATTACGTTGAAGTTCTTCCAAAGGTGCATTGATAAGGCGTTGACAGATTGGGAAAACGTATAATGCCTGAATTGGGACAAAAGATTTGTCCTTGACAGCTGCAGATAATACGGTTTGGAAAAAGTCGCTGTAAATGAGAACAATACTTTTGCTCGCACGGGGTCGGCACAAATCGTCGTTGTAGGCGGAGTCTCGCGATATCCGTGCATATAATAACCAAATATTTCTCCATAGCAATGAACACAAATTGTTCCGGACTGGAGGAATATGCTCGTTGCATCCAGGTTATCTTTATGACCGAGCTCGTAATAACGGGAGTCGACTGTACCAAGAACTGTTGGAGCTTGCGGTGTCTGGTTACTTCCGACTCTCGATCTCTCAGGCCACTTAGCCTTGGAGAAAGTCTACCTGTTCATGCTACATGGTATTGGATCTTGCTGCACTGGGTCGGGCAAGCAAATCACTTGACAAACGATGTAGACTGATGTTCCTGGCAAGGTTTCTAGCTACGCGGCGCTATACCATCTTTGGTCAAATCGTCCCCAAGTCAAGTCGTGCTCGGGTCAACTCGTTCCCGAGCCAAGTCATACCTTAGTCAAGTAGCCCCCGCTATAAATAATTAAATTATAATTATAATTTTACTGCAGCAATTTATTTTGGGGGGATAAATTATTTTCTTATACAAAGAAAACTTTTCTGCATACATGTACGTACATATTCCTTTAATTTCAAACAAGCAAACCTGATCTCATTTTACATGTATTGTATACATGTTAAGATTATTACATGTATTGGTATGCATAACAACATGTACCCCACTTTTGAATCAGCATAAAAAAAGTTCAAAAAAATTTTTCCTACCTACCTTATTTTCAGCTGCCATGAAAAGGGAAACACAACTATTTTTTTCTGGCCTAAGCATGATGCCAGTCAGTCCCACGTAGAGAACTCTCTTCGGGTCTTACTAATTACCGTTAACACACTGTCAACACACAATAGTAATGTCAACACAGCTTCAACTTCCCGAAAACACAAGTTCGATCGACAAAAGAGGCATAGAGGTGTAATACTTGGGCTGAAAGGGACTTTCCAGTAGTTGGAGGTCACAAATCAGTTTACAAATTGGAATTTTTTCACACGAAAAAAGTAATCTCTAGCAGCCATTTTGCCTCCTCATGGAGCTTAGAGTGTACCATTTACATGTAGGTGTGGATATGCTGTAAATTAAAAAAATTTATAAAAGAGTAAAAATCAACAGCCAAAACAACATCATAGATTTTATTTAACACAATTACTGTCAAAATGGTAAGGTCCAAACTGCCCAGGAGGCAACGAGGCTGCTGATTTCTGAGCCGGTTGAAGCATTGTTGAAGGAGGTGATTTGGGCCAAATTAAAACAGCAATTTTCCTGAGTCTGACCTGTTGAAGTTTAGCCAAGATATCCTTTCGGCAAATATATTGCGGTCGAGTACCACTTCTTTTGATTTTTAACATAATTTGGAGGTGTTGGCACTGTTTTGACGCTGTGTTGATGTGTGTTGACGGTCTATTGCCGGTCCGTTGCGTGTTGATGGTAATTAGTACGACCACTCCCTTCTAATGTACAGCGACAGGGTCCCCAAATTTACGATTCCCATTGTACATGTACACTATAGCTTTGGGGTTAGGCAGGCTACTGGTACGTGGACAGAGCCGGGATCAACGTCTACCCCTGACAAGGCGAAAGACAGTACATGTACAGTACCTGAGTACCCAAGTCCGCCCTTGTACATACATTGTTGTTTTGTAGCATGGAGGAAGGAGGGGTTGTAGCATAGTTTGTCGTTGTATGCCTACGTACATGTATGATGTAGGCCTAGTAACTTACTTAGGACAGCCACAGCATCGGATTCGAAGAGAAGGGTCTCTTGCCTTTTTCTTGTTTCCAAGATCACAGAATACGGTGGTTCTACTTTGTGGTAAATTTTGAAAGATTTGCCGAAAGTTAGTGCCATTTTTAGGTCGAGCTCGAAGCAGTGATATCATTAGAAGTAGAACAAAATGGCCGCGTACATGTACATGACCCTCGTTCTGTGGATCTGGACCAAACACTATATAACGCCGCGCCAGCATCTTTGCTGGGTTATCATGTTATATGCATGTAGGCCTACATGCAAAGATGGTATAGCGGCGCTATACAATCTTTGCTACATGTATGCATATGTAGAATCACAACGCAGACTGTAGGGCGCCGCGCGCGGCGGGTACCGGCCTAATTACGGCACAACCGAAGGAAAGTCTCCATATCAGGCTGCGTGTACCAATCTGCGATTGTGGGCCTGAAGTGTTTAAATTGCCGGTGTGGGCATTTGGTACCCAAGGTTTAGTTGTTTATGTTGTTGAAGATAGTAAGTCATTAGAAGAAAACAAGGATGAGAATTAAACTGAAGAAACCGCTGTATGCGATTGAATCTGAAAGCGAGGCTACGTGCTTGGAGGTAGGCTAGGCCAAGTCAGGGCTTTGTCTGGTTTTTGGTAAACAAGCTGTCTCTTGAGGAGATGTTTCTTGCCGGAGCAGATAAAATAGACAAGCATGTTTTGGAGTTCATCTATGGTACTTTGAGGACAGGAGAGAACTGCTAAAGGATGAAAAAATTTGGATGCAGGAAGCTGGTTGGCGACGAGAATTTTTCCTTTGAAAGACAGAACAGTCACCAACCGGATGCCAAGTAGATAGTGTTTTTGTAGTTTTTCTTTGCAATTAGTCCAGTTTTTCTGGGTGTACGTGTTATTGTTTCCCAGATGAACTCCAGAAAAACAAGAGCTTGACTGTTCCATAGGAAGTTTAAGGGCTTGTCAATTCTATCGGCCCACGAACCGACCCATAACCCTTTGGATTTATCATGATTAAGGCGAGCAGCAGAGGACCTTTGATACAATTGGTGAGTGTTTTCAATTATACCGAAACTGACATCGTTGGTAACGAAGACTGTGATGTCGTCCGCATAGGCCGAAACCGAGCAGTACTTATCCGTGCCTGGAATAAGTAAACCGCTGCCCTGCAATTCACGTCGTAGGGTGTGAACAAAGGGTTCAACAGCTATTGCGTACAAGAGCCCGGAAAGCGGGCAACCCTGACGAATTCCCTTCCTAAAAGGAAAGGCATCCGTCAGAGAACCGAAGACTTCAACGAGGCTTTCACCGCTTTTGTACAACAGGCCGAGACACTCGAGGAATTTGTCCCGAATCCCATGGCTCTCATTGTGTTAAAAAGGTAGCTGTGGTCAACGTTGTCAAAGGCTTTTTTTGATCTAGGTTGACCACGGCTAAAAGTAAGTCATTATTATTACAACAGAGAATAAAGTCCCTTATCAGATTTAGGTTATCGTGAATAGTTCGTCCAGAGACGCAGTATGATTGATCTTCATGAATAACATCCCCAATATATTGTTTTAAACGGTTGGCAGGCAGCTTAACATAGATTTTGTAGTCTGTGTTAATAAGCGAAACCGGTCGCCAATTTGTGAGATCTGCAAGATCCCCCTTTTTGGGAATGAAAGTAATGACGGCTTTGCTGAACGATTTGGGGAGATTCCCAGAGTCGATAGCGAACCGGAGTACTTCAAAAAGGTCATATTTGAAAAGTGATCAAAAAGAGACAAAAAATTCTGAAGTGAGGCCGTCGATACCGGGTGTTTTGTTTTTGCTAAGATGCTTGACAACAACATCAAGCTCCTCGAGCTGCAGAGGAGCCTCGGAGTAGAGTTTAGATAAGTCTTGCAGGAGGTGCTCAAGGGCGCCCTCGTCAGTTGGCACAGAACTATACAATTCTTTATAAAATCTCCAACATTCAGTTTTGATTTCCTCAGGATTTTCAGTTAGAGATCCCGAAGAAAGACGGAGACAGGAGATAGATTTGGATTGAGAATGGGTTTTCTCCAGATTATAAAAGTACGACGAACTCGTGTCCACCTCGTTAATGTGTTGGAAGCGCTATCTGACGAGGGCGCCCTGTGCTCTATTTTTAAGAAACGTATTTAATTCTTCCTTTTGCTCTTGCAAGACTTTTTGCATTTCTGGAGTGACGTCTGACGCGGACTGTAAATCGTCAATGTGAGAATTTATTTCTTGAAAAATTCTCCGTTTTTCTTTGGCAATGCCAAGGGAGTAATTTTGAGTAAGCTGTTTTATATGAACTTTACCAAGGTCCCACCAAGAGCAAATACTACTAAAAGTCGGTTTTTCCAAACGCCAATTCGACCAAAAGAGATGAATTATCTCGCGATAATTGTGGTCTTCTAAGAGCAAATTATTGAAGTGCCAATAGGCGCTCCCTTTAATACGGCTACTCGGCGTAATAATAGAAAGGGAAACAGCAGCATGATCAGAGAGAGAGAGAGAGCAAGGATGACTTTCGCATTTGCAAATACTGGAAATAAGACTGAGAGGAATGTCAAAACGATCCAGCCTAGCTTTGGAAACAAGAAGTATCTGAACCAGGTATAGTTGTTCTGGTGAGGATTAAGTCTGCGCCAGGCATCGCTCAAGGAATTTCTATTGCCACAACCTCGGAGAGCCACGGCAATTTGGGGATGGTGCTCGGTCGGCCTACTAAAGGGTGTGAATCTTGCATGAATCGAAAGAGGAGCATGTGCCCTTTCAGATGGCACACTAACTGTTTGATCTGGAAAAAATTTGATTATTCAGAAACGCATATACGGAGCCTTCTTTGAGCGCGGCTGGACTCTGGAAGTGGAGAGTGTGTCAGATTTACGCCAAAAAAAAAAAAAATCAAGCAGTTATGCATAAACTCACGCTTTCTTTTAAAGATATTTCCGAAACTAAAGCACATGTAGATATGAATCTATCATGAATCGAAAGAGAAGCATGTGCCCTTTCAGATGACACCACGATTGTCAGATCTGAAAAAATGTTTGATATTTCAGAATCGCATATACGGAGCCTTCTTTGAGCGGGGCTGAACACGGGAAACGCAGACCAGCACATGTGGATATGAATCTTGCATTAATCGAGAGAGAAGCATGTGCCCTTTAAGATGACAACACGATATTGTCAGATCGAAAAGAATTTTTGTTTTTTCAGAAAAGTATATACGGAGCGTTCTCTGAGCTGGGCTGAACACGGATAGTGGAGGGCATGTCAGATTTACGCAAAAAATCAAGCAGTTGCACACTTACTCGCGCATTCTTTTGGAGCTATTTGAGTATCTAAGGCAAATATGGCTGTGAAACTAGCATGAGTCGAAAGACAAGCTTGTGCCCTTTCAGATGACACCACGATTGTCAGATCTAAAAGAATTTTTTTCTTTTTCGGAGCCGCATATACGGAGCCTTCTTTGAGTTGGGCTTGAACACGGGAAGTGCGAATATGTAAGATTTACGCAAACAAATCGAGCATTTGTACACAAACTTGCGCTTTCTTTTCCAGATATTTCCGAAACTAAAGCACATATGGAGATGAATCATGCACGAAGCAAAAGAAGAGCATGTGTCCTGTAAGATGACACCATAATTGTCAGTACTGAAAGAATTTTTGATTTTTCATCATCGCATATACGGAGCCTTCTTTTTCTTAGTTGAACTCGGCTAGTGGACAGCCTGTCAGATTTACCCCAAAAAATCAAGCATGTCAACAAAAACCTTGCGCTTTCTTTTCCAGATAGTTCCAAAACTAAAACACATATGGAGATGAATCTTGCACGAAGCGAAAGAGGAGCATGTGCCCTGTAAGATGACACCACGATTGTCAGATCTAAAAGAATTTTTGATTTTTCAGAATCGCATATACGGAGCCTTCTTTGAGTTGGGCTTGAACATGGGAAGTGCGAGTACGTGAGATTTACGCAAAAAATCGAGCATATCCACACAAACTCGCGCTTTCTTTTCCAGATATTTCCGAAACTAAAGCACATATGGAGATGAATCTGTCATAAATTAAAAGAAGAGCCCGTGCCCTTTCAGATGACACCACAATTGTCAGTTCTGAAAGAATTTTTGATTTTTCAGAATCGCATATACGGAGCCTTCTTTTCCCGAACTGAACTCGGATAGTGGAAAGCCTGTCAGATTTACCCCCCAAAATTAAGCATTTCCACACAAACTTGCGATTTCTTTTCCAGGAAATTCCAAAACTAAAAAACATATGGAGATGAATCTTGCACGAAGCGAAAGAGGAGCATGTGCCCTGTAAGATGACACCACGATTGTCAGATCTGAAGGAATTTTTGATTTATCAGAATAGGTTATATGGAGCCTTTTTTGAGCCGGGGCTGAACATAGCAAGTGCCACTGTGTGAGGTTTACGCAAAAACTGAGCATATCAACACAAACTTGCACTTTCTTTTCCAGATAGTTCCGAAACTAAAGCACATATGGAGATGAATCTCTAATGAATCGAAAGAAGAGCACGTGCCCTTTG